TTTTTTTCCCTAACTTTCCCCCAGCCCCTGTAACCGCCCTCTACAGAGGGAGGGCCCACAGAGGGGAGCTTTTCTCCCCGGGGCCACAGAGAAACCTGCTCCTGTCTGTGCTCCTGCACTCTGAAGATGCCGATCACAGGTGCTGGTGAAACGTTAGGAAACAAAACTTCCAGAACACCGCCACACAGCCCGGAAGACCCACACCAGCCATCATAAGTGGAATGCATGATCATAGGAGAGAAGAGAGGATAAAATGTGTTTCCAATTCTAAGGCAATGGCCATTGTCATTAGATGAAATGGAATGGTGCAGTGCTGGGGCAAGCAAGCTCATTTTTAGTTCAGTACAAACAATGCACCCTGATTGCTTTTGTTATTTATTGTTCCAGAAAAATATCTTATATAAATATGTGCCCCAGAGGTGCCAGCATCTAGCCAGCCTTGGCTGATTTCAGAAGTTAAGTTGATCAGCCCAGGTTAGCATTTGAATGAAAGACTACTTCAATTTTCCAGAGTTGTAAGCTAGACTGAGAAGTTGGGGGGGCGGGGGGAAGTCCAGAAGACAACAGCAAACTATTTTCATACTGTTGTCAACAAAACGATTGTCCTGAGGGTGCCTTTATAATTTGGAAGAAAATAATCCAATTCTATACTTGTCTAAACAAGAATTACAGATATGTTTCTTTTTAAAATGATTAACTCTGTTAGTGTAAATGTTATTGTAATTATTGCCATGGGTAGAAAGGCGGGTTTTAAATTGAATGGACAACCTTTTGGAGTCAAGGGCAGCAGTTAACAGTTTTTGGTGGGGCTGAATGCACAGAACAGTTTTTATCTGCTTCCCAACAGGGAACAGCTATCCATTTTCGCAATCATGATTAGAGGGAGCCCCAGGGAACATAAAAAAAGAAGTGTTAGGGCTGCAGATTTCTCCTCCCTATTGTAGTAATACCTATTTAAATATTATTATCTAGGAAGAATCTACCACACCTTTCAATGAATTTGCACTTCTTTCTGCAGTTAAAGACAATTGAGATAGCACAACATTAAGAAATGTTACGGCAGATAACATTCCAAAAGGATGGCCTGTGTTTCAAACAAGGAGGAGGTATTATTTAAAATCTCATTGGCAAACCCCTCCTTCAAGGGTTCTCCAATAAATAGGCTGTTGCCAGTCAGGTGGAATCTCCTGGCATGTCCTAGTCTGTCCCCCTGGGGAATGCACAGCCTTTTCATTAAGGGTTTCTCCCTTCAACCATGCTTTTTTTATTTGTTTTTTTGTTTTGTTTGGTGCCTTCGAATCAGCGTTGACTCCTGGTGACTGCCTGGACAAGTCCCTGCAGTTTTCTTGGCAAGATTTCAGAAGTGGTTTACCATTGGTTCCTTTTTAGGGCTGAGAAAGAGTGACTGGCCTAAGGTCACCCAGCTGGCTTCATGCCTAAGGTGGGACTAGAACTCAGTCTCCCAGTTTCTAGCCTGATGCCTTAACAACTACACCAAACTGGCTCAATCAACCACACTCTAGGAATATAGAAAGGAAGGTGCTTTCAGGCTTCCTGCCCAAAACTCAGAAATATAAATTTAACAAATCTTGTGCCAAAGATATAAAGGAAAGCTAACTGATAGCAGCATCCTCAAAAACACAGAATTCTAAATAAAGCCAATGCACTGAGCCTAGCTGAGTTAGTTGCTTCTTACCTGCTTGAATAAGCTCAGAATTCATTGCAGAAAGCATAGGGGGAGAGAGGTCATTTAGGCCTCCTACCTGGATGTTGATAGGCAGATAGCGCTATCTTGATTAAAATAGAAAGCTTGTATAGCTGAGACCGATCTCTGTCTGCCCTTTGGGATATGTAGTCTCAATGGGCATTTCAGTCCAGAAGTTTGGAAAACTACCCCTATGTATTTAAAGGTTTTGACTTGTTTGATGGTGTGCCAGTTCCTTAACTAGGGAAGTTTGGAAAATACAAGTATCTTAGGCTTGGCATACTTTATGACTAGGTCCTCATTACTGTATTGCAGTGAAGTAAAAGAGCACTTAGGGCTCTTTTAAGGCTGATGGAAGTCAAGAATAAAACTACCATGTCATCAGCATAGAGTAGTAAATTAATATGCTATTAGGCCAGTATAAAAGGATGAAAGTCTGGGCTGGTTAAGGTGGCCACCAGTGAATTTATGTAAAAATTAAACAGTGCTGGGGATAACACAAAATCCTGTTTTACTCCTTTTTTTTTTTTTTTGTCTGCGCTCAGTCATTACTGACCCTGCAGTGACTGCTTTG